GCTCCCACCCTCCTACTGTCTGTGTCCATTGGTTATGCTTACATGCATGCATACAAGTCCTTTGATCACTAAATTTGTAGGTTTTAACATGTGATATACTTTAACCTATCGCAGTTATTTCATGCTCAAATTGTCCATCCCCTCTTTGAACAGCAAGCGCCTACTCCCCCCCTCCCCAAGATGGTGATTTATTTGCATAGTTTTTGTTTATTCAAGACCCTACATCGGCTGAAGCAGTCCCTCCAGGAATTGCCCCTCCAGAGGCCATGACAATAGGTCTTCTGTGGAGGGAAATGCTGGGAGAGCGGTCAGCTTTAGTGAAGGCAGCTCAGAGAAAGCGGGAGTTGAGGGGCCGGCTGCCAAGATTTTAATAAATTGCTTCAGATATTCTCTCTTGTGGACAAGGGCCTCTTTTATTGCAAAAATGAATTTTAATGTTTATCTTGAGTTTGATTTAAACATTGCTTTTAGTATGATGCCGACACCAGCTGTGCAGAATGGGCTCTGGAGAGATGTTTTATGAACATAGCAACACACACCTGCAGCTCTTCTGTTCTGGGGGCTCCAGGGCAGCCAATTTGCTTCATCAAATATATTCTTTAGGCCTTTCTGTGTGAGTGCAGAATGCTCCACATATTTGACGGCCTTCAGGTCACGGGCCAGTTTTTCAGCAGCCTGAATGATAGGCTTTTGTTTGTTCTTGGCAAGTTTCAATAGTAGAGGGGTCATCTCTGAGATCAATTTGGGTCCCAACAAGCAAGAAAAAGGAGTCTATGGACAGTAGTGAGTTATTTCAGGCACCACTTTTCTTTAATGTTTTCAAATGAGGATGGAGAGACCACTGAAAAACAGACTAGAAATACATCTGCTTGTGGATAACTCAGCAGTCAAAATCTTGTCATATTCTCTTGCCCTGCTGTATCAAAAAGTCTAAGAGTATGGCTCTCCACCAATCACAATTGTGACTACATAGTTGTCAAAAACAGTTGGTACATAGTCAGATGGAAATTTGCTTATTGTGTAGGATATTAGGAGACATGTCTTAACAATGGCACCATCGCCCACAATAATGCATTTAATTGTCTGCATTGCTGAAATAGTTTTCTATCCAATTTAAATATTTCAAGTGTGATGATGACCTCAGTTTCTCCGCCAGGGTATTGGCAACACTGCCCAAGAACCTCTTTTTAAGTTGGCACCTTTTCAATTCTTTTGAACTGACCCTTCTAGTCTTTGATGTTTTCTTTGATTTCTGGTGTGACAAGATAGCCAGGCTCATCCTGTCCCAGAACCAGAATTAGCATTTTCTTGAAGGAACCAGGTTTCCTTATAATAGATAATGCTGTTTAGGGCTGACAGTCTGGGAAATAAGACTTATGTCTTACATTTTTTTTTTTTTAATGTGTCTGTAGAGATGTATTCAATAAGGGACACATGTTGTACACAGACAACTGGTACACAAGTTTAGATTTAGCATATAAATTACTCAATAATACTCATTTAGTAGGAACATTATGTTCAAATCGACCAGGAAATCCTCATAAAGTAATGTCAAAGAAATTAAAATGGGGAGAAATTATAGCAAAAAAGGAATAACCATTTTGAAATGGAAAGATAAGCAGGACATCTTTCAACAAAACATGTCAGAGATGGTGAATGTTGGAAATAGATTAGGTCACTACTTGAAACCAAAAATTGTAGTGGATTATAATGCAAGAAAAGCAGCAGTTGATATATCTGATCAAATGAGTGCCTATAATAATATGTTACGAAAACCCATGAAATGGTATAAAAAGCTAGCCTTTAAGCTCCTACTAAATACTGCTGTTCTCAATGCTCATATTTTATTTAAAAATATTAGCAAGAAGAATATGAGTATCACAGAATTTCAGAAGAAATTAGCTGTCCATCTAACAAATTGTTGGGATAAAGAAATTCCAAGTAGCAGTACTGTAAATATACCTCAAATATCTCATCACAAACAGCAACTAAAAACTGGAAGTGTCTAAAGCTCGAAGATAATGCAGCACAATTTGGACGAGATATTGCCAGGAAGTTGACAAAACAAGTTACAACGTTCTGTGAAACCTGCACAGGACAACTATTTTTGTGTATATCGTGTTTTAATAATATTTTTTAAAAATGTTGGTAACAAGTGATATTTAGGTACATTCTTTTATGATCTTCAAATTATTTAAAATTTATTAATAGAAGAATAGAACTTTTTAAGTTGTATATCGTCAGTCACCAGGGACTGACATGGCGCTTAATGTGTTAAAGCTGGGATAGTGGAACAAGGAAGGGCTTGGGATAGAAGAAGCAACAGGAGAGAGCTGGGCCGGGCTGCTTTGGCTCCCTGAGAAGTGAGAGAAAAGAGGGCCTTGCGGACTGGTTCAAAAGGTTAGCCTGGGCCGAAACCGGTTTGGCTCAGTGGATAGAGCGTCGGCCTGCGGACTGAAGGGTCCCAGGTTCGATTCCAATCAAGGGCATGTACCTTGGTTGTGGGCACATCCCCAGTAGGGGGCGTGCAGGAGGCAGCTGATGGGTGTTTCTAACTCTATCCCTCTCCCTTTCTCTCTGTAAAAAATAAATAAAATATATTAAAGAAAAAAAAAAAAGGTTAGCCTGGGATGAGCTGTGGCTGCTTGTTGCTCCCCTCCTTGAAAGTCTTGTGGGGCCCTTTAGAATTTAGGAGATGCATGCCTGGGTAGAAGTCTCCTGTCCTTTCACATTCCAGGGTTCTTTTCTTTCCTCCAAAAAGGTGAGCCGGTTCAATTAGAGACAATGAGACCTTCAGGTCACAGGCCAGCCCTGACCGAGCAGCGACGGCAAAAATAAGGCCTGAGGCGCCCACGGACGCGAGGGTAGTGGCCTCGGGAGGGGCCTCGGGACTGGGGTGGGGTCGCCAGGATCCCAGGACCAGGGAGAGGATGTGGACTCCCCAGTGCCGGGTGGGGACACGGCCGCCAGGGGCCTAGTAAGCGAGGGGGTGGCACAAGTCCAGTTCCAGGAAGAACTTTATTGGCGCTGGACAGGCCGAGAGTTCATGAAAGGGGGGAAAAAAAACACAAAAAACAGAAACGACTCAAAAGTCGCCACTAGTGGACCAAAAGGCAAAAGAGCAAGGGCAGGGAGCAGCCTGGCAGCCATTTCACACACCGGGAGGAGCCCGGCGTCTGGAGGGCCGGCTGAGGGGACTGGAAGGTCCACGAGGAGCAGCAAACCCGGCTCGACGAGGGCGGGACGGTGACGCGCCATGTCTTACATTCTTATTATTTTTATTTAATTCATTAAAATGGTTAAGTTTATGCTAGATTTTTGTTGATGTTACTATTATGAAAGTGATCTTTTTCTCCATTGCATCTTTCCTCCAATGAAAGGTTGTTGATTTTTATACCTTTATTTGTGACCCGCCTGTTTACTAAACTTTTTTTTTTTTTACTTTTTCTGTTTAGTTGTTTTACTTTGCCTTTTCAGGAACACAATCAATCATACCATCTGTAAATAATGATAATTTGCTCTGACCAGTTTGGCTCAGTGGATAGAGCGTCAGCCTGCGGACTGAAGGGTCCCGGGTTCGATTCTGGTCAAGGGCATGTACCTTGGTTTCAGGCACATCCCCAGTGGGGGGTGTGCAGGAGGCAGCTGATCGATGTTTCTCAACGATGTTTCTAACTCTCTATCCCTCTCCCTCTCTGTAAAAAACCAATAAAATATATATTAAAAAAATAATGATAATTTTTTCATGTTCTTCCCAATCATTATACCTCTTATTTGTTCAAAAGAATGTCCAATTGCATGTTCTAGCACTTTCATATCAATATTATATACTACAGATGATGGTTACCCTGCTCTTATTAATGAGTTTTCCATTAAGTTGGCTCCCCAGTGTAAAGACAAATTAGTGCTCTTCTTAGTATCTTATTTTTACTGGAATGAACATAATTGATAGACATTAGCTGTGCTCTGACCAAACAAGTTAACTCCCTTTCATTACAACATGCCTTATACTTTTCCCTCTCTTCTAATTATCATCCACGAGCTTGATCTCGGGTCACTGCATTGCTCTGTATACCACTCACTGGACAAATTCCACAGGGACTGCTTTATGACATCTCACAGGGAACATCCCATGACCTTCAATACTCAAAATACTGGTGTAAAAAGAAGGCCAAGAGAGGAAATATTGTCAGCTAGAACTCCTCCATCTCAAGTTTCCTAGTCTGATGTCTTTGTTTATTAGGTGTGTGTCTGTGTAAGGATTTTTCAGAAATCTCTATTTTAGTTTTCACCTGGCTGTTCTACCAGCTAGATCTTTAGAGGTCAGCACCATGTGTCATGGTGGTTTATTTATTGAGCTCCTACTAGGAGACAGTATAGCATAATAATTAAAAGTGCTCTCCCCCTTCCCCTCAGTCTGCCCTGAATTTGGCTAGTTTAGGAAGGTGTGTAGTGGAAAAAGTGTCTGAGGTGCCTTGCCACAGCTCTGGGATTTAACTCGTGTTACTTTGGGAAGTTGTGCACATCCCTACAACCTGCATTTCAGGGTTGAAGTGCTTTTTACATTCATAGCTTTCACTCATCAGGCTATATAGTAATAATAACCCGATCCTTGTTATATTTTTATCGTGATGGACTAAGTTACACACTAATGCCAAAAGAGTTATGCCTTTCGGCTTATATCAATTAACAAGAGTAGTTCGCAGATATGTTTGTTAACAATATTTCCATGTTATATTAAAGTCAGCCGGTAGTTTTATATTAAAGTCAGCCGGTAGTTTTATATTAAAGTCAGCCGGTAGTTTTATATCGATATAACTTTACCCGGCCAAGCGAGAGATGAATTCACCATTACGGAGGGCGGGGCTGGGAGGTGGGGCCATCCTCTTTTGCAGCTTTGTTTCCATGACAACGGTTGCTACGGTAATCACTCCGCCTTCCCATTGGTCACTGCTGAGCATATTGCGGTTCCCTTGGTGGACCTCATTGGTCATAGTGATGCAGTGCCCGGACCTATCAGGGGCCGTAAGTGAAGTGTCGTAAAGCAGAAAGGAAGGCGGGAGTCCCGATTGGAAACATTAGGGAAACCTGAGCAGCGGAGGCCGCGATGGCGAACGGCGCGTGGGCCGAGATTCGAGAGAAATTCCAGGCCGCGCTGGCTCTGTCGCGGGTAGAACTGCATAAAAACCCCGAGAAGGAGCCGTACAAGTCCAAGTACGGCGCCCGAGTTCTGCTGGAGGAGGTCAGAGCGCTGCTGGGCCCCGCGCCCGAGGACGAGGACGAGGACGAGCGGCCTCAGGCCGAGGACGACGTGGGCGCGGGGGACTCCGCCCCGGGGCTGCTGGCCGAGCTGGTGGCGGTCGAGGGGCCCGTGGCCCAGGGCGCCGTGAGGCTGGCGGTGATTGAGTTCCACCTGGGGCTGAACCACCTCGACACGGAGGAGCTGTCGGCGGGGGAGGAGCACCTGATGAAATGCCTGCGGCTGGTGCGCAGGTACCGGCTGGCGCCCGAGTGCGTCTCGCTGTACATCCAGGCGCAGGTGAGAGCCGGCCCGCTGCCGGGGCGAGGGGCGGGGGGCGGCCGGGGGCGGCGGGGCGAGGGCGGGGCGGGCCCCGACTCTGCCAGGGCCGAGGGCACATGTCACGGGGCACAGTCTGTCCCACGGCTTGGAAGCTTTGGGATAAACGACCGGGAACCCCCCACCCTCGTCGTCCTCTTTAACGTCGCCTGCTGCTTTGCTTAGTCGTGGTCATTGCCTGGGTTTCGCCCCGTAAATGGCTTTTTCAGCTCTTCTCCACCAGTTCTGATCCTGTTCATTCTATTAAGAAAAAAAATCTAAGGTAATTTTAATCTTAATTTAAGGTTGACCCGTTTGTACTCAATTTGCTAAAATTTTGTTAACGTTTTTTGTATCTTTGTTCATGAAGGGCATCAGTCTGTAGTTTTCTTGTTATGTCTTTGATTTGGTATGAGATGGGAGATGTTCTTTCCTTATTTTTCTAGAAGAGTTTGTGTAGAGTTGCTATTATTTCTTCCTTACATGTTTGGTAGAATTCACCAGTAGTAGTACTTTTATTATTTTATATTCAACTTTTTTCCCTACCTGGTCTGATGCTCTGTGAATGATACAATAGTTTCTGTTGTGTTGTAGGATTTATATTATACTTAAAAAACAATTCATGTAGAATGTCAATAGCAGTTATTTCTGTGGAGTTAAAAATCAAATCAATTCTAGATCTTTTGCTCAAGTCACCATTAAACTCTAGGGTTTCTAAACATTTTTTGTGGCATATTGCAGTCTAGTGAAGCCTATCCTATATAATAAAAGGTTAATATACAAATTGTCCCCTCCACTGGGAGTTGACAGGGAGTTCGACCAGGGGGCGGAGTGGCTGGCCAACACCCGTGGCCCCTCCCCCCAGCCCGCCCACCCAATGGCCCTGATCAGGGTGGGCGGCTGGACCCCACCCCGCACATGAATTCATGCACCAGGCCTCTAGTATTGCATAAAACAGAGGAATGACTTTAAATGTATAAAATAAAATGTAAAAGAATATTAAAGGAACCAGTAATATAAATATTTTAATCCTCACCTAAGGATATGTTTTCATTGATTTTAGAGAAAGAGAGAGAGAAAAACATTGATATGAGAGAGAAACATCAATTGTTATGCACTGCAACCAGGAATCAAACCCACAACCTAAGTATGTGCCCTGACCAGGAATTGAACTCATAACCTTTTGGTATATGGAACAATACTCCAACCAACTTAGCAGTCCAGATAGGGCTCAAAATATTTTTTAAAACAAATGTATGATGTAGTAATATGTGTGCATCTTTTTTTTTAAAATATAATTTATTGATTTTTTTGCAGAGAAGAAGGGAGAGGGATAGAGAGTTAGAAACATCGATCAGCTGCCTCCTGCACACCCCCCACTGGGGATGTGCCCCCAACCAAGGTACATGCCCTTGACCGGAATCGAACCTGGGACCTTTCAGTCCGCAGGCCGACGCTCTATCCACTGAGCCAAACCGGTTCGGCATGTGCGTCTTTATTAATATGTTACACAACATCTAATGATGTGTCTAATGTCCATAATTTTATTTTTTAATATATATTTATTTCAGAGAGGAAGGGAAAGGGAGAGAGAGAGAGAAACATCAGTGATGAGAGAGAATCATTGATTGGCTGCCTCCTGCACACCCCACACTGGGAATTGAACCATGACCTCCTGGTTCATAGGTTGACGCCATGCGGGCTGAGCAATGTTCATAATTTTATTTTATTTTTTTTAAAACATAATTTTAAAATAGTAATGAATATAAATATTTTGAGATCAGCAAATTGTAACATTAAGATTTTTTCACTTTTATAGGTCACAAAATCTCAGGTACTATAATACTGCTGCTTTTTTTGTTGTTAATCTTCACCCAAGGATATTTTTTCATTGACTTTTTAGAGAAAGTGGAAGGGAGGGAGGAAAGGAAAGGGGGGGGAAAGGAAAGGGGGGGGAGAGAACAAGAGAGAGGGAGAGAGAGAGAGAGAGAGAGAGAGAGGAGGGAGAAGGAGAAAGAGAGAAAGAGAGAGATACCGATTGGTTACTTCCAGCACATGCCCTGACCTGGGCAGGGATGAACCTGCAACCCAGCTTTGTACCCTTGACCAGGGATCGAACCCACGACCCGTCGGTCCTCAGGCCGATGCTCTGACCACAGAGCAACACCAGCCAGGGCATATTGTTGCATTTTTTTCCTGCTTTCATAATTAAAAGAAATGCTAAATTTTAGTAGAACATAGTGAAAATAAATTGAAATGATTTTTCCATCCATATTCTTAGACTCTGAATTCTATTAATGGGTACCTTGTGGTTCTGTGGACCACAGGTTAATCTGCATTAAAAACTTTTTGTGCCCGGCTGGTGTAGCTCAGTGGTTGAGCATCGAACCAGGAACCAAGAGGCCACCAGTTCGATTCCCAGTCAGGGCACATGCCCGGGTTGTGGATTCGATCCCCTGTGGGAAGCATGCAGAAGGCAGCTGATCCATGATGTTTCTTTTTCATCGATGTTTCTATCTCTCTATCCCTCTCCCTTCCTCTCTCTAAAAAAACCAATAAAATGTATTTAAAAAAACACACACATCAAAAACCTCTTTGTTTCTTTTTTTTAAAGACATTGTTAATAGATTTTTGCAATTTGCATTTTTTATTTTTAAAAAAATACATTTTATTGATTTTTTACAGAAAGGAAGAGAGAGGGATAGAGAGTTAGAAACATCGATCAGCTGCCTCCTGCACAGCCCCCACTGGGGATGTGCCTGCAATCAAGGTACATGCCCCTGACCAGAATCGAACCCGGGACCCCTCAGTCCGCAGGCTGACCTCTATCCACTGAGCCAAACCAGTCAGGGCCCTCTTTGTTTCTTTATCCTGTGCCCTTCCCTAGGGAAGTAAGCAGAAGGTGGTAGAAACCCAGCCTCAGAAGTTTCCTTGTGCCTGAAGGACTATCCCACGGGGTGGGGCAGTCTAACCCTGTTTTCTAAAGGTTAGCTAGGCATCCAGTCTTGAGTTTTGACCATCTAAACAGTCCTGATTTGCTCTGTACAGCGCCTGCAGAGTCACATGCCAGGGGACAAACTGGCTTAGTTTTAAAAATGTTATTTAGCATATTACCCCAATCTAATCAATTTCTTAGCACCTTCATGGTAGCAGAAAGAAGTTCGTGCTATGGAAATCAAAGGAAGTGATCGATACAAGAAAAGACTACAAATGAAGAATTTTTAGTTGACTGGATTTAATTACAAAGCTATATAATTTTAAGAACTCTGGAAAGTACAAACATGTTTTATTGTTTGAAATGGTAAACATTAGGAATCTGACTTAACTGATGAGTTAAAGGCATATAGCATCTTCAGAGTCTTCATAACATAATTTGAATAATTTGAATTTGAGAGCTCACCTCCCTTTCTTCAGGCTTGAACCAAACAGTAACTGTTAAGAGGCTTCTGGAGATTGTAGATACTTGAAAACATGTTTCTGGCTCATCTTTGTCTTGATGTATACTATCTATTGCTATGTAAAATTTTGCCCCCAAAGTTAGGATCTTGAAGAAACAACTTTTATTTCAGGAATCTAGACATGGCTTAGCTGGTCGCCTCTGCCTCAAGGTCTCTCATCCCATTGAGGCTGCACTTGAAGGGTCAACTGAGGGAGGATCCTCCAAACTCTCTCATGGGATTGTTGGCAGGTTTCAGTTCCTTACAGGAGGTTGGTCTGAGGGCTTCAGTTGACCTCCCTCAGTTCCTTGCCATGCGAGTCTATGCACAACCACCACATGGCAGTGGACTCCCCTCAGAGAGAATGGGAGGGGAGCACCTCAAATGGAACGGTGTTCTGTAACTTAATCTTGGAAGAGATCTTCTATCACTGTTGCCATATTCTGTTTGTTAGAAGCAAGCCACTAAATCCAGCCCATACTTACAGGGAAAAGATTATACAACAAGGTCATGAATACCAGGAGGCAGGGATCATTAGGGATCCATCAGTAGCTGTTTACCACTACATAAGGACAATATTGGGAATAATTCATTGTTAATCAGACTTCACTACTGTTTGGTAGGTAAATTTTGACTTTGAAACTAAAAGTTACTGTTACTAGAAGATTTATATTGTCATTATTTCTCTTTATTTTCCAGAATAATCTGGGTATCTTGTGGTCTGAAAGAGAAGAAATTGAAACAGCACAAGCTTACTTAGACTCATCAGAAGCACTATATCTTCAGTATATGAAAGAGGTATGCTGCATGTCAGATAAATTTTAACATTTGATTGAAACTAGTCAGGAACTGATGTTAAGAATTCCTTACTCATAATATTTGTGTATGACTCCTCAGTATACTTAGGGACCTCTCTATAGAGCTGTCTAGGTGGTCACCTAATAGCTGTACTTGCAGACACTGTTAGAAGTGATTTACAAATTTTAACTCATTTAATCCTCATGGCAATTTCTGAGGTGGATACTTTTATTATTCTTATTTTAGAGGTGAGAAAACAGACTACAAGGGATTAAGTTACTTGTCTCCACACACTAGTAAATTGTGAAGTTGGGATTCTAATCCACACAATCTGATTCCAGAACCCATACTTTTAACCTAGGCCAGGGGTGGGCAACCTTTTTGTGAGTGTGTGCCAAAACCAGCAAAATCTCTGACTCAAAATTCTTCTGTGTGCCAACCCTGATTTTTTGAGAACATGTTATATCTACTTGATATCTCTTAAGGTGTACGTATGTGAAGAACCTTGAAGAAATAATAAAATTCATTCGAGCGACAAAAACACAGTATATGATGATGAAAAATACATTTATTTTTTAATGTATACATGTACACTGATAGTCTGACAGAAAACTTTATGACTCCGTTTGATATTATCAGTGGGACTTTTGCTGCTGCATCACTGATGACAGAGATTTTACATCAGGAACAGTGTAGTGTCAAAATGATGATAGCAGATAGAAGGAATGCACTGTAAGCAGAATGCACAGATTGAGCATTTTTATTTGCTTTGTCAGTTTATAATAATTATTATTATTTTCGTGGGGTGGGGAGAGCACAGACTTTGTATACATATCTGAGTTTGAATCCTGAACCTATTAACTGTATAGTCTTCTGATAAGTCATTCTGCTTCTCTGGGCCTCAGATTCCTCATATGTGAAATGGAAATATTGATACTTGCACCCTGTAGCATTGGTCAAAGAATGAACTAACATAGGTATAAGATGGTACTTGGCACATAGTAGGTGCTCAACTAAAACTGGTTTTACTCTCCTTCCTGCTCTCTCTCTTTAAAAAAAATTTATCTTTATTGTTGAAAGTATTAGATACACCCCCCCCCCCATTAACTCCCTCTACCCTACTCCTGTTCCTTCCCCAGTCCTTCACTGCACTATTGTCTGTATCCATGGGTTATGCATATCTATCTATATATATAAAAGGCTAAGTGTCCCTCTGACCGTCCGACTGGTAGCTATGATGCGCACTGACCACCAGGGGGCAGACACTCAACACAGGAGCTGCCATGACACGCACTGGTTGGCACCACGGACCTGGCGCTGACAAACCAACACTTGGCTTCCCCCAAGTGGGACACAGGCCCTGCCACCACCCCAGAGTGACACCCCACCAAATCGCAGCCAATGCTGCCAAGACCCCATGGTGCAAAATGCGGCCCACAGCCCAGCCCAGCCCGGAAATGATTGCTGTGGGCGCAAAGTAATGACGTCAGGTAGCAATGCCCGGCTTCCTCTCCCTAGTGACTAGTCTCCTTGGAGTTTCTTCAGCCCAGGAACATGACTTGTTTTATAGCCAGGTGCAAATATTTTACACTTTAATCAAATGTTTGTGAAGCCTTTTCTCACGCCTCATCTCATTTGATCCCCACAGAAGTCCTGGAGTAGGTAGATAGGAGACTTGGTAGAATCCTATTTTCTTTTCATTAGCCGAAAAACGGAGATTTAGAAAGTTCAGAAACTTGACCCGACTGAAAGGAAGCAAGAAATGGTGGACCTTGAAAATGACTTCAGGTTTTCTCACTGTGCAGAATATAGTCAAACACTGCTGCAGTTAAATATTTTACCCTTTGTTCTCCCTGTGTGATCTACAATAATAATCTGCTTTGTGTTGATATTTACTGCTGTGTTGCTGATAATTACTTGAAAGAGAAGTTGGGGTGCTTCACTGAGCTGGAAAAAGTTTAGCTAAATCAGAAAGCAGGTCTAATTAAGCAAGTTTATTCTCTATATATAAAAGGCTAAGTTGACTCACGCATGCACGATACATATAAAGCTCTCGGGAGCGCCAATCGCACACGTGTGTTTCGATCTGTCATTGTCGATAGTGAATTTGGTTGACACTTCTATTATAGAGAAAGGGCGAATAGCGATATTAAAATATTTCTTCTAATTAATTTCCTTTCATTGTGCACGAATCCATGCACTAGGCCACTAGTATGCATATAAGTTCTTTGGTTAATTTCTCCCATCCCTCCTTTTCCCTCTGAAATGCATCAGTCTGTTGCATGCTTCAATGTCTCTGGGTTTGTTTTGTTCAGTTTATTTTGTTCATTGGATTCCACATATAAATGAGGTCATATGATACTTGAGTTTCTCTGACTGGCTTATTTCACTTAGCCTAATACTTTCCAGGTTCCTCCATGCTCTTACAGGGTAAGAGATTCTTCTTTTTTACACCTGCGTAGTATTCCTTTGTGTAAATGTACCACAGCTTTTTTATCCACTCATCTGCTGATGGGCCCTTGGGCTGTTTCCAGATCTTAGCTATTGTAAATTGTGCTGCTATGAACATAGGGGTACATATATTCTTTCTGATTGATATATTAGGCTTCTTAGAATAGATTCCTACAAGTGGGGTCACTGGGTCAAAAGGCATTTTTAATTTTTTGAGTAAACTCCACACTGTGCTTTGTCTGTTTAATTTAGAATATGTGTTTATAAGCAATTAAAGCTTTTTTCCCTCTGAGGAATATATCCCCAAATTGGAAAATTTTAAAAGTCATGGCTCTTCTGTCTTGGTGTTATAACTTTCCTCCTTAAGAACTAAGAAGAGCAGAGAACCACAAAGCCAAATTGAGATGTTAGTCTCTGTTTATGATTTTAGGCTCTCACTCTTAATATATGAATTTGTTAAATTAAAATGTAAAGATACCAAAAACCTATAATATTATATTCAAACCTAGTATTAATAAGGAAACATAAAACATGTAGCAAAACACTGTGTACTTAAAAAAATGTTTTTATTGATTTAAGAGAGAGGAGAGATGAAGGGAAGAGAGGGAGAGAAACATCAATCACCTGCCTTCTGCACACCCCCTGCTGGGGATCGAACCAGTGACCTTTTTGGTGCATGGGATGACACCCCACCAACTGAGCCACACAGTTCAGGCCACTCTATTTTTATGCCTCTGTTTTAGTTAAGAGACTGATTTAACTGCCAGTGTTACACATAAAGTGTGATAGTCATAACAGTGACGTATGTACATAAAATAATACATTGACTAATTCCCCTCATTAAGACAAGGGCAAGCATACTAAACAGCCCTTAAAATTGTTGAGATGGTCTTTGCAGAATTAATTAAAAATCTATTGTGTTTGGCCTTGCTTCCTATCTTAGTCATTTTCACTTTCTTTTTTTAAAAAAATATATTTTATTGATTTTTTACAGAGAGGAAGGGAGAGGGAGAGTTAGAAACATCAATGAGAGAGAAACATCGATCAGCTGCCTCCCGCACACCTCCCACTGGAGATGTGCCCGCAACCAAGGTACATGCCCCTGATCAGAATCGAACCTGGGACCCCTCAGTCCGCAGGCCAACGCTCTATCCACTGAGCCAAACCAGTTAGGGCCATTTTCACTTTCTATGAATTCTAGGACCCCAAGTCATAATGCTTTTATTGTTTGCATACAAAATGTAAAATCAACCAGTGAATGCAAAAATAAATGGAACAACAAATCGATGTTTCTCTCTCTAAATCAATAAAAAATTTTAAAAAGAGGGTAATCTATATACTTGTTTCCTTGAGGAAAAAAATATTAGAAAAATTATTTAAAACTTTGATTTTTCATTAGTGGTCAGTTTAGAACAATATTACTCTAAGGATGTATACATTTTTTTCTATTTGTCATGCTTATGTAGGTTTTAAAAGAATATCAGACAGAATTAAGACAAAATACCTAGTGGGGCTAGAGGGGCACGGTGGAGGGAGTCAATGGGGGAAAAAAGGGCACATCTGTAATACTTTCAACAAGAAAGATAAATTAAAAATAAAGACTTAAAATACCTAAAAATTATTTATCTAAAAGCAGGGTTTTTTTTTTTTTTTTTTTTAGTTTATTTGAAGTTCACCTGAAACAGCCATTAAAATTTTGTCAAGTGTGAGCTTGTAGGAAATCTTTTAATTCTTTGACTCTTAGATTTTATGGGTTAAGAAAATTACTTCTTGGGTAAAATGAATTTCTCCAGTCCTTCCAGAAGAGGGCGCTTGGTGTTTACAGTGAAATTTTAGAGTTGTTTTTCTTTGATTGTAGATTGGGAGTCCTCCTCTTGATCCTACTGAGCATTTTCTTCCTGAAGAAGAGAAACTTACTGAACAAGAGAGATCAAAAAGGTGAGTAGGTATTGAAATCAGCCCTCACAGACATTTTCACATAGTGTAGATAATTGTTAAAAAACACGTTTTCTCTTTCAAGGCACTCATAAAAGTTCTAGAATGTGGATTCTGAAATGGATTAAAACCTTCATTTGCCACTTATTTAGATATGTGACTCTGTTCATATCTAAGGATCAGTTTCCTTATCTGTCAAATAGCCATACCCGATTTAAAGGGTTGGTGAGAGGAGTAAGATACATATATATGAAAGTTCTGTATAAATTGTAAACCATTATGCAAATACTGGTTTTTTTCTTCATAGATTTGAGAAGGTTTATACTCATAACCTATATTACCTGGCTCAAGTCTACCAACATAAGGAAGTGTTTGAGAAGGCTGCTCATTATTGCCACAGTACCCTAAAACGCCAGCTTGAGCACAATGCCTACCATCCTATAGAGTGGGCTATTAATGCTGCTACCTTGTCACAATTTTACATCAATAAGGTAAGCTTTTTGAAGTTGTTTCTAACAAAGTTACCGATAGAGTATATGAAATATAGACCAAATAGTACCTTGAAAATATAATCTTTTAAACTCGGTATCTTAGGGACATCTCTAATAGAATTCAACGACTATAACAACAAAAGCATATCCACACAACTGGCATCCAGCTAGAATGGCATGGGCCTTTGTGATAGTTTTAACCAAAAAATGGGATATAAAGTAACCAACCAGTAGCCCATACTCTCATCTCAACAGCAGTAACAATAAGAACTTATAATTAAACCTTGAAAAAAATAGGTAGCTTATATTTTAATGTAAACTAGACAGAAAAATACAGCCCAGTTTGCCAGTGTGCTAAAATTTTGTAGCTTTTGTTGCATTAATCTATTGAATCTTAAAATACTGAGTTTTATCATTATCTTACATGTTTCTAGCCTCTAAAATTACGTTACCTAAGACCAATTCTTTTTTGTTAGAAGCATGCTTTCTCAATTCATTTTAGTGAGATGTTACCTTAAATTGCAGATTTTGTAGATATAACTTTATCTTTAGACAATTGTAATCTGCTGGCTATGAGAATTTGAGGAAGTTGACTGTTAAATGTGGGCTTTGATAAAAGCATGTGATGCATTTCAGTTATTTAGAATTTCTTTATAATAATTTTTCTATATTGGGAATATCTCTGCTCAGTTCCAGAGTTCCAGGTCTTTTTTTTTTTTAATATATATATTTTTTAATATATATTTTATTGATTTTTTACAGAGAGGAAGGGAGAGAGAGAGTCAGAAACATTGATAAGAGAGAAACGTCGATCAGCTGCCTCCTGCACATCTCCCACTGGGGATATGCCCACAACCAAGGTACATGCCCTTGACCGGAATCGAACTTTGGACCTTTCAGTCCACAGGCCAACGCTCTATCCACTGAGCCAAACCGGTTTCGGCATTCCAGGTCTTTATGATATACTTCACAGGGACTTTTAGCTTTTTAGTTGTTTATCAAAATTATTAAGAATCATGTTGTATACTTTTGACTTATTTGTTCCTCTATTCAAGATCTTGTTTTTAATGCTAAAACACTTTTAAGCCACCTTTCCCAGCTAGATATTTTGTTAATCCTCAATCGGATATCTCAGCAATAGAAATTTTATTTGTATTTCTGACTCACAAGCCTCTCTGAAGTTTTGGTAATTTTTGCTTATCAGAGTTCCTTCTTAGATCTCTGGTTGCCTGCTGCGATATCCTTACTGGGCCTTTATCCTTTCTAAGATTTTTGTTAGTGCTGATTCTGTAAATGCACCCTAAGTATTGTCCCACAGAATTTCATTCAGAAAAGCTATTAGTAGGAGAGAAAGGGCTGTGGTGACTGCAGCACCGCTTCTAGGACTATGGTTTAAGTAAGTAATGCTGCTGCATATATCAGAGCATTCAGTTAAATCTAACTCATGTATCCATTTCATTGTGGCCATCATCAAAAAGTGTTATCTTGTGCCTCTGCTTGTGGCACCATTTTTATAACTTCTGGGCGCCTCTTATTTGTTTTGTTTAAAGTTACATATTCACTGATTATCACTTAAAACAACGTTGGTATTGATAATACTTAGATATCTAGATATTAAAGTGTAATTTAAAATGTAAAGTTGTTAAACATTGCTTACGTGGAGCATGCAGTAGTTTTCATGAGTACCTCCACTACCTTGTGCTTTTATTTTTTTACCAAGATGGTTTATAAGTTTTTGTTACAGCTGGTTAAGTTGTATTGCAAAGAGAGAGATTTGAACCATGTTTTTAGAAAAGCAGCTGTCATTTATATCATCCTCATCCTCATCTGGTCCAGAGGTGAGGTTTGCTGCTTGGTGAGTCCCTACCTGGCAGCTGCTAACGTCCCACTTTAGCAGCCACCTGAGGGCACAAAGCAAGACACTCGCTGGTCTAGTAGTGGTTGCTCACAGGGACCACGCTGGAGAAAGCTGAAGTGGTAATGAAGGCTGAGGGATTGTGGAGGGACAATTAAAGCTGTTTATGTAAACGAACTTTTGTTTTTTTGAGGTTTAACACTAACACTTTGATCTGTAGATGTTGCTGGGCTAATACTACACATGTCCCCAGATATTCTCAAGATGGCTTCTGAATTTGCCATTAGGGAGGGCTACATTCAATGTTGAGATTTTAAAGTCATAGCTAACTATTAAAAATCTTCTTAGCAAAATCAGGTAGGTATATCTAACATGAAGTAGACATATTTATGAGGATGACTTTCAACTAAAAGTTGGACTTGAACTTTGTACTTTTGCTGGGTGGTCCTGTGACTTACATGATAAATGCAAAGTGTTCACATTAACAAGGAGATCTTCTCCAAGCATTTGAGAAGTTTACTATGCCCAGATTTGAATTATGAAGTCTTCAAATGTGTCGATAAAACAGTTTCGTAAAGTTTGTCTGTGGAAAGTCGTTGACTTCAAAACTTGGTGGGAATTCTCATAAATTTGAAGATTTTTAGAAGACAGGAATCTCTTCCTATCATTTATTATTTTTGCCTTTGAATGGTAGGACAGAAAAGGGATCTCTAAACCTAAACAAAATCAAATCTTTAAGTCCTCTGACAAAATGTAAATGGTCTAAGAAGTTATTGTGCATGTAACTTTGTGTATTTGGGCAGAACCTAAAGATGATCTGAGGCACTTTGAGTCTATGATGATAGCTGTTGTTGTATACTTACTGATTACCTGAGGAGAGTCAACTCAGTCAGCAGCTGTCTTCCAGTCAGTTTGGATTATTAAAAGTTTGGGGGGCCCTAACTGGTTTGGTTCAGTGGATATAGCGTCGGTCTGCGGACTCGGGGTCCCAGGTTCGATTCCGGTCAAGGGCATGTACCTTGGTTGTGAACATATACCCAGTGGGGAGTGTGCAGGAGGCAGATGATCGATGTTTCACTCTCATCGATGTTTCTAACTCTCTATCCCTCTCTCTTCTTCTCTGTAAAGAATCAATAAAATATATTTTTTAAAAAAAGTTTGGGGGTATTGTACTTCTTTGAGGCAGCCTTGTAACTCGATAATACCATAACATGTCTTATATACCTTCTTAATGTTCGGTGACTATACAGGGTCTCCTTAGTGGTTTTTACTGATTTTGATAGCTTTTCCCATATCAATTGCAAATAAGGCTGTGGGACAGTTGCATTTACTCTTGTTTATTTCCTTAACAGCAATGCTTTATGGAGGCCAGACACTGTTTATCAGCTGCTAATGTCATTTTTGGTCAAACTGGAAAGAACCCAACCACAGAAGACAGTAAGTTTATGTGTACATGCTTTATTATATATAGCTTTTTAAAACTTTATTTTAAATAATTTAACTTTAGAAAATTCAAGAACAAAACAAAAAACTACCCACTAGTATATGACCTTCTAAATTCACCTGTTTTTAATATTTGCCTCATTTGCAGTCACATTTTTTTTGTTTCTGAACTATTTGAGAGAAGATTGCATACATTAGGCTCCTTTACCCCTTAATACTTCAATTTGTATTTAAGAAGGATGTTTTATGTAATCATAGAAAAAGAAACAATACAATTCTTTTATCTGTAATGCATATTTGTTTCATTAATTGTCCTCATAATGTCCTTTTTAGTAGTTCTTTTCTAGTACCAGAATATCCAGTTCAAGATTGCATATTGCGTTTAGTTTTCACACCTCTATAGTCTTTTTAAATCTGGAACGTTCCTCAACCTCTCTGTCTTTCATCATATAGACATTTTTTAAAAATACAGGCCAGTCATTTCATAGAATTTTCATCAGTTGGTATGTTGATGTTTTCTTACACTAAGATTCAGATTACAATAGTACCTCCTTACCTACAGGGGGTACGTTCCAAGACCCCCAGTGGATGCCTGAAACTGTGGTTAGTATTGAACTCTATATCTACTGTGTTTTTTTCTTGTTTATACATACCTACTATAAAGTTTAAACTACTCTTGTGCTTTGGGGCCATTATTAAGTAAAATGAGGGTTCCTTGCACACAAGCATGTGATACCAGCAGCAATCGATCTAGGTGACTACTAAGTGACTAACAGCAGGTCATGTTTATACAGCGTGGATACACCGGACAAAGGGATGGAATAGGACAGTATGAGATGTCATTACACTACTAAGAATGGCGTGCGATTTTAAAACTTATGAGTTATTTCTGGAATTTTCCATTTAATATTTCCAGACCATTGTTGAACTCGGGGAACTGAAACCATGAAAAGCAAGACCACAGAAAAGGGGGCACTGCTATATACATTTTTGGTTGGAATACTACATACGTGATGTGTCCAAATAACTAGTTTTTTAATTAGTGTTTTATTTAGTCTTAAAAACTACAGTTAACATTTATATTTGAGCAAATCAATGAGATATCACCTCACACTTGTTAGATCAAAAAGTCATGAAATAAGTGTTGGTGAGGATGTGGAGGAAGGGGACCCTTGTGTACTTTTGTGTAAATTGGTGCAGCCACTGTGGAAAAACAGTATGGAGGTGCCTCAAAAAATAAAAATAGAGCTACCGTATGAACCAGCAATTCCACTTCTGGGTATATATCCAAAGGAAAGGAAAACACTAACCCGAAAAGTATCTGCACTGCAGCAATATTTATAATAGCCAAGATTGGAAGCAACCTAAGTATCCGTGGATGAATGGTTAATGAAAACGTAGCATACATGTACAATGGAATATTATTTAGAAGGAAATTTTTTTTTTTAGAGAAAAGTACAAACTTCCAGTTTTAAAATAATTAAATCATGGGGTTGTAATATATAGCATGGTTAACTGTATTGAACATTTGGAAGTTGCTAAGAGTAAATCTTAAAAGTCCTCGTCACAAGAAAAAAAATTTTGTGGCTGTGTGGTGACGGATGTTAACTAGACTTGTGATCATTTTGCAATATGCAAATATCGAATCACGTACATCTGAAGCTAATATAATAATATATGTCAATAATACCTCAATTAAAAAATACTTCCCATTATAAAATCTGTAACATGCTTAAACAGGTCCCTGAACACATTTTAGTAAGGTATCAATCCAGTAACTTTTACTTTCAAACCTTAAGGAATTCAAGAACCCATTTCTGTAAAGGAAAGATTAAGGACTTCATATCTAAGTACAGGTTCCAAAGTACAGATAGACCTCATTTGTGGGTTTCATATTTGGGAATTCACCTACTTGCTACAGTTTACTTGTAACCCCCAAATCAGTGCTCAAGGCACTTCTGCGGTCATTTGCAGACATGTGCAGAATAGCAAAGAATTTGAATTGTCCAAGGTGCACATTCCCCAGTTGAGGTTTTAGCTCTCATACTGTAAAACAAGTGTCCTTTTTGTGGTCTATTTATAGTGACATTTTTGTGCTTTTTGTTGGTGATTTCATTATTTATAATGGCCCCCAGATGTAGTGCTGAAGTGCTGTCTAGTTTCCTCAGCACATGAAGGCTGTGATGTGCCTTATGGAGAAAATACAGTGTGAAATAAGCTTCATTCAGACACAGGTTTATAGTGCTGTTGGCCATGAATTCACTGTTAATGTATATTAAATAAGATGTCTTTAAATAAACACTTGTATGATAAGGTTATATATTGATCGGTTGACAAAAATGTGACCAGAAGCTCATAGGAACCTAACCCTGTATTTCCTGTAGGAGCAATGTTTCAGTATTTGCTCATTTGTTGTTCACAGTGACTTTATAGAACATAACTACATGAACAGTGAGAATCAACTGTTTCCTTATAAGAGAATTCAGGTAGAAAGTTTTACCATTTAAAAATCCCTTTTTCTACTGAAATGAATGTTCATCTGAAGGAGACAATCTAAGCCACTGGTAACTTACATCAGTGCCGTCCTTCTGTGTCGCTCAGAGGGGAGTTGATTCTCTCCCTGTAGAACTGGTCAGTGCTTCTGTTGTACTGGGCATTGGTGATGTTGGTGGCACACCCTTATTGATGGAAACTACAGAGGAAAGTATGTGGATTAATAACTATACTGTTATTTCATGTTATAAAGGGTTTTTTAAAATACTAGTGAAAACCAACATAATTTAAACCAAATTTATTTATAATTTTTAAATTTTTCCTTGCAAAAGGGAACACCTTCCACAAATGTAGCAATATTTTGATAAAGCTGGACATGGGACTCATGTTACAAAATGAAATAATTGGCCCTTTATTAAACCGCCACCATCATTCTGAACATTATTTTGGAGGATGCTTTCCACTAAAAACTACTTTTAATTCATTAGAAATCTTTCAATTTGGATTCCCCTAATTTGGAATTTTTGATAAGTTGGTTAGGAGCTATGCTAACCTTCATTTGTTTAGCACTATTTCTTTATTAACAGAAACCACAACATAGGGAAGGTGGTAAAAGCAAATGTTTAAATAATTAGAGGAAACTGCTTTTCAACTACCTCATAAGGATTCATTTATAGACATGAAATATAAAGTTCATATTTTTATTAAAGTAGGTATTCTAAAAACCTGTATGAGTGATGCTTTTCTTAGTCCAATTTGATGAATATTGATAAGTTGGTTAGGAGCTATGCTAACCTTCACTTGTTTAGCACTATTTCTTTATTAACAGAAACCACAACATAGGGAAGGTGGTAAAAGCAAATGTTTAAATAATTAGAGGAAACTGCTTTTCAACTACCTCATAAGGATTCATTTATAGACATGAAATATAAAGTTCATATTTTTATTAAAGTAGGTATGAGTGATGCTTTTCTTAGTCCAATTTGATTAATAATGATGTTGAGCACCTACATGTACCATATCCTGTCCTAAATTCATTGTGGGTATCATTTCATTAAATCCTCATAACAATACTCTCTGACAGTCACTGTTATATTCTGTACTTTACAGATAGGCAACTGGAGCACAGAGAGCTCCCAACAGCTGCCCAGTGTCACACATAGTGAAGGGCAGAGGTGGCATTCAGATGCAAGCAGGATGGTTCCAAGCCCAGAACTCCATTGCTTGAGCCAAAAGACCACTAACTTGACCCTTCCCTACCTCATGCCCCTCCAACTTCCTCCACTGGCTGGAGATGAAAAAGCTCCTCTCTGGAGGGTTGGGGATGGGCGGGGGCGGGGCAGGAGACTCTGCAACCTTGGGAAGGCTTGGAATTAAGGCTCAGATGAAATTAAACTTGGGCCCTGGCCAGTGTGGCTCAGTCGGTAGGAGCGTCATCCTGTACACCAAAAGGTCTTGGGTTCAATTCCTGGTCAGAGCACCTACCTGGATTGCTGTTTCAATCCCCGGCCCCAGTCCAGGTGCTTATGGGAGGCAACCGATCAATGTTTCTCATATCGATGTTTTTATCCCCACCCCCTCTTAAAAATCAATGAAAATGTCCTCGGGTGAGGATTTAAAAAAAACTTATACTCAGTATTAAGTTTGGGAACAAGTCTGTGATCATGATAATAAACATTCGTTTCTAATAAGATGCTTGAAATATCTAAGACATGCATTCTGAATAGGGTATAATGGTTTTGTAGAGCCTTAGCTGGTTTGGCTCAGTGGATAGAGCATCAGCCTGCGGACTGCAGGGTTCCAGGTTCGATTTCAGGTCAAGGGCACCTACCTAGGTTGTAGTCTTGATCTCTGGCCCCAATCTCTCTCACATCAATGTTTCTCCTTCTCTTTGTGTCTCCCCCTCCTTTTACACTCTAAAAATCAATGGAAAAATATCCTAAGGTGAATTAGCAGTAACAACAAAATAAAAGTTTCTTGGGAAGTGAAAAAAAATTATTTTTAAATCTTTACCTGAGGATATGCCCATTGATTAGTTATTTATTTACAAATATATTATTATTGATTTCAGAGAGGAAGGGAGAGGGAGCGAGAGATAGAAACATCAATGTTGAGAGAATCATTGATTGGCTGCCTCCTGCATGTCCCCCTACTGGGGATTGAGTCCGCAACTGTGAATTAGACCAGGACTTCCTGGTTCATAGGTCCATGCTCAACCACTGAGCCACAAAGAGTGGAAGAGGAAAGGATAGAGAGTGTTTGGGAAGAGAGAGAGAGATGTGAGAGAGGTGAGAGAGAACCATTAATTGGTTGCCTTCCGTACATGCCCCAACCAGGGATTGAACTTACAACCTAGGTATGTGTCCTGACTGGGAGTTGAACCTGCAACCTTTCATATATGGGGACAATGCTCCAACCAACTGAGCCACACTGGCTAGGGCAAAAATATCTTGCTATTATAATGGTGGCAATAAAAAAGGGGGCGGCACCCTGGCTGGTTT